TCCTAATGCCACCACATTAGTGATAAGGTTTCAGCATATGAATTGTGGGAAAGAGAGAACAAATGTTCAGGCCATGGCACCCATAATGCACTTGTTGGTTTGAATTCCAGTCACTTAAAGGAAGTAGGAGACACATGAATATTGGGAGATTTTCTCTGTCTAGTCTCAGTCCCACTGGACTGGTTTCTCTCCACCCAATTGGGTCCCCGAAGCTACTATGAAATAAGCACTCTGAGACTTAACATCTATTTCTAATTGTTTGGCCATTGGCTTAGGCTTCCTTCTGACTAGCGCTTTCTTAATTATTAACCCATTTCTATTAATCTGTATATCTCCATGTGGCCTTCACTTACTGGTAATGTCTGGGCATCCTGTCTCCCTGGAGGCTACACAGCAACTCTCCAACTCCATCTATTGCCTTTCTCTATCCCTGTTCAGATTGCCAGCCTGGCTAAATCCTGCTTGCCCATTGGCTGAAACAGCTTTATTCATCAACCAATAAGAGAAACACATATACATATTCACAGCATACAGAAGGACATCCCCCATCATATGAATTAGAGAATAATAGCTGTATGTTGATAACTATTAAAACTGGGTCATGTATTATTTACTTTCTGTAATTTTTTGATATATTTGAAATTTTTATACCAAAAAAACTTAGGAGTAATAAAGAAAATGCCATTTAATCACCAGAATTCCTCAAATCTATTCTTTTATCAGGCACTTACTGTTGTCTCTGGTACAATATAGGTTATAACAAGGTTTGAATACGTGTAGAATACGTACCAAATCAGGAGAAGCAGTAAGGAGTCAGGTCCAGTTCATAAGGAAAGGAAGAGAATGGTGGCAGGAGGCCAAGAAGCCAAGTAGAAGGCTCTGTTGTGGGGCATTTGGCCAGGTGATAAGTTCTTGAAAGAGAGAAGAATTAGGCAACTATCCGGCATGCTACCACAGGGAAGGGAGATTGAATAGTTTAGGGGAGCAAGCTAAATATAAATGGGAATGGGAAAATGGAGGAATTTGCTGAAGTAGCCACCACTGACAGCTTTTTGTAGCCTCCTTAATAACTATGTCCAGCCCTGCATGGAAGGATCTGTTCAGTAATTGTTTTCCACTCAAAAAATGCATTCAAGACACTGTCGTTTAGACAAGTAGAAGCAAACAAAATCCACATCCATGCTTTGTTTCTGAGTCATGAGTTTAAAGGTTCATTATTGATATCAAAAGAAAAATCAATCTGTATGTTTACTTTTAGAGTTGGGCTTTTAAAGGAATATAATATAACTTAGAGCTAATGTAAATCAAATGCCAGAGAATTGAAATTAACCTTTGTTTACATTTCATTTCCTCTAACATTTACCTAATTTGGAAAATAGCAACTAGGTTTTAATAACACTTGAATAGCACAAATGCCCAGGATATAACCCTTTAAACAAATTTTCTTCCCAAGCCCATTTCAATAATGAGTTGGTAATTATTGCATTCACAGGAGAGTTCTGACTGGCACCCTCTACTAGTGGGCTGCAGGCATCTGTTGGAAGCCAGATGCCCACATGCCAAGCTCCTTGCTCAGTCAAGAAAAGACACACTGTCCAGACTTGGTTTCATCAGGAAAGCCTCTGGCAAACAAAAAGAACTTTGTGTCAAAGTCTTTCTCCTACATTGGCTACCAGCTGTAATAGCATCTGAACTTCCTATGACTCTGTTGACCAGAACATAGTGACATGTACTTCTCACTCAACTGGCAAGGATTCCTTTCTTTCCCAGAGTCCCAGTTACATGTGCCAGAACTCAATAATGAGTTGCCCAGTCCCTGTCCACAAAGACGTAATTCATGGGGTGAGCAATATCTCGAAAAATGATATGATCATAGAAACTTTTATAAAAATTAAGTAGAATTCAAAACTTAGGTTTTTTTTCCTTTAACAAATACCTTAGGCAGAGGAGATGGCCCAGTGGTAATGCATCTCCAACCAAGTCTGAAGTCCTAGGTTCAAACCATAGAACCAACACCCAAAATTTGTCCTCTACACAAGCTCCATGTCACATGTGCGCACACACACACACAGTAAATGTTCACAATGCTCTAATTTAAAAATTCATTAAAATTAAATTAAAAAGCTTCTTAATGTCTAAAGTCAGCAGCAAGAAAAGTTGTATTTGGTGTTCTGAGGCTTTTAATCCTTTCTTTATTAACAATCAAATTGACCTAACCTAACCTGGTAAAGAACACAGGCTCAGCTGGACGTGGTCACACATGGCTTTAATCTCAGCACTTGGAAGGCAAAGGCAGGTAGACCCCTGTGAGCTTGAGGTCAGTGTTGTTTACACAGTGAGTTCCAGGACAGGACAGCCAGGGTTATGCAGAGATACTCCTGTCTAAAAAAATAATAAAATGAAAGGTCGTGGTGCTAAGGCAGGGGGACTGTGAGCTCAAAGCCAACTTGAACAGTATAGAGAGAGTTTTCACTGGAAAGAGAGAGAGAAAGTGAGGTAGGGAGAACGCAGGCTCTGGAAACAGCCAGGCTTAATTAGAGAGACCCCCCTCCTCCCATTTGCTAGTTGTGTAGTTTTAAACAAGTTAGCTCTCTGAGACTCCGTTTCATGATAGATAAAGGATGACCAAAGCTAGCTAAAACATTTTGTTAGCATAAAAAGTAAATGAGAATTGTTAATGTAACTCCTCCCCTCTAAGCATTATTAGCATGGGGTCACCATTGCACTATCGAGTCAGATCCCAACAGTCTCCTTGGAGAGCCATGAATCTGGGCAGGCTCTGGGTGTCCCCAAGCAAAGCCCTAGTTATTAGCATATAGAGTCCTCGGGCACTCTAGGGCCTTATGAGCATTTGCTTCACTCGTTATATCACCCCCCTCAGAAAAACAGGACTCCAAAGAACGGCCACCTGAAAAGCAGCCAAAGGCTAATGCCCACAGGCAAAAGAAAATTTCTTTACTCCAGATAGAAGACATGAAGCAGGCGAGGCATCTGAGGTACCAATAAATCAGCACCCACCATAATCTTGACTTGAAGAAGAGCTCCCAATAAACTTGGAAGAATAAAGAAAAAGAAGGAAAAGAATGCATGAAAGGAGGGAGAGGAAATGAAGAATGGAAGAGGAAACGAAAAAGACAGAAGGTTAAAAGAAAGATAAATAACCCATCTCCCTAGGAACCTCCTATAAACTATTTGCATCCATTCCAAATTCTTATGTTCAAATGTAATCCTCAACGTGATGATATCCATAAGTAGGAGTCTTCAGAAGGTGGTCAGTTCAGGCTGGAGAGATGGCTCAGAGGTTAAGAGCACTGACTGCTCTTCCAGAGGACCTGAGTTCAATTCCCAGCACCCACATGGCAGCTCACAACTGTCCAGTTCCAGGGGATCTGATACCTTCACACCAATGCACATAAAATAAAGTTAAATAAATTATAAAAAAGGTGGTCAGTTCATGAGCAATCAATAAAATTAGTGTCCTTACAAAAGAGGCTCCAGAGATTTCCTTCTCTTCTTCTTCCATGTGGCATCATAGCAAGAAGATGTTAGCTCTCTGCAGACAGTAACCATGATAATGACTTTATCTTGGAATTCCCAGCCTTCAGAACTGTGAGCAATAAATTTCTGTTGTTTATAAACAACTCAATCTACAGTATTTTGCTACAGTGGCCTGGGTGGATTATGGCAGAATTCTTCAAATTCAGGCTTATCATTCACCAAACACCAGAAAGAAGTTAAAGATGTATTCCACCACAACAGCTAAGCAAAGATGGGCTGGCAGTATGGAACAGTGGACTAGGAACAAAATGTCACTACTCCCACCCCTTCCCAAGAGTGAAGTCCCAGGAAGAACCTACCTCTGCCAGTAATGACTAAAAACAGATACCAAGGACACAGACTTGTCTACTCCCTCAGGCTAGAGACTAGGACCAACACAGGGAGCCAGGGAGCAGAATAAGGAGATGGGTTGGAAGCTTCAGATGATTGATGGGCTTCAAAATGTGTACTGTCATTGCAGAGTCACTGGCCAGATGGGGCTTTGGTGTTGGTGGTGGTAGTTTCTCCTTCCAAAGAATAAAAGGAACTGGCTACTGCGCCCTCACAAAATAAAAAATAAAAATAAAAAATAAAAAAAACACATCTGTCTTGTCCTTCCTGAGCACTTTCTCATTGTCCGTTTGGCCTGCTTTCCTTAAGGACAGCTCAAAAATAGTCTCCTGTGATTTCCTTGGTGAAATTATTGAAGTTTCCAGTTTCCGGTGTGAGACTAGGCATGAAAAATGTTCCTCTCTGTGTCCCTACTTTCTTCCCTGGCTCTGTGCCTCCAGGTATACAGATATATTGATGGATATGTTCTAATTGCTAAAAAAGCATCCCATCTGGCTTCCCTATTATATCTAGAAAGGAATTAAATGACAATTCTTCTCAAAGAGTCAGAGAATTAAACAAGATAGCTTGTGTGTAGTCATTAGCAAAATCCTAGTACAAAATGTATTCTATAAGTCTTAAGGATTTTTGTCTTTTTATTTTGACTTGGGGTCTGGTATAGCCTTCTGACCTACCTGACTCCACATCACTAGTATTAAGATTATGGTCATGTGTTACCATGTCTACTTTAGCCATGACAATTCTGGAGATTAAACTGGGGGCTTTGTACGTGCTAGGCAAGCATTCTACCGGTTGAGCTATAGTCTCAAATCCATGTTGTTGTTCCTTTTTAAGATTTTTACAGTGCTATGTTACTCTTCTACTCATTTATTCATGCAAAAATATTTTAGTGCTTATTTTATTATTTTATTATAAAGTATGAGACACTTGGAGCGGGGGGGGGGGGGGGGGGAGTAGAAAGCAGCACCAACACCACCTGTAAATATTCTCTATTCTTCAGGAGTTTACACCATTGGCTACAAAACGTACATGTGGGTGAGGCTGTTAGAAACCCTGGCAAGGCATGAAACATCCAAATGAATGGATGAGAATAAAAGGGTATGACTGATATAGTCAAATCGAACATGGCCACATGCCACTTATTTTGATCTCTGAAGGATAGCCAAGATTCGTGAGGGCAAGGGACATTGCACACTCTGGCAGCGGCATAAGCACAGACCTAAAATCCCAAAGGACTGTGAGAAGGCTAACTAGTAGGAGATCCTAGGAAATGGCAGTGGAAAGCACAGCCAAAAATATCCAAACTACATCACAGTTTATGAGTAATGGGAACACAGAATACAGAACTGAGCTTCTAATATCTGGGGACAGAGAGAACATGGTGTCCATGGAGAGAGAAGGGGGTTGTTTGTAAGGAATATTTGAAGGCAAGAATCACCAGTACAGAGGAATGGGAAACAACAATAAACAACAGCAGGTAAAGAAAAAATTATCCATTACGAAGTTAAGAAAAATGTGGCAGTTTATGCCTATAATCCCAGCTGAGACGGAAGAATTGCCAAATCCCAGTAGCTCGAAAACAGCCTGGGCTACATTGCAAGATCCCATCTTTAAAAAGTACTAACAACCTGCCTAGAACATGCTCTATAAGTTCATTTCTTCCAATAACTTCTGGCTGCAGCTTGTATTTCTGCTATTGACCTAGTTCACCTAAAAGCTAAGGACAGCAGGATATTTTTTAGTGAAGTTAAAATTCAGTTAATATAATTTCAATCCTCCTTGCCAAGATGAAGCAAGTAAGGATTAGATTTTAGTAAATACATGCAAACTGGTTTCAGACATTGAGCAGCAAACCACGGAAGAGTGTAAGCCCACATGTCTGGAAACAAAGTGAGCCTTCCAATTGCTCAAGGTTACCTCCCTGAGTCAATGTCCAGTATGCAGCACTTGGGAAAGGAGCCCAGTAGTTCCACTGAGTTGAAAAGACAGAGACTCTGATCAAGGACACCAAGGCAGCTGTTATTTGTGGGACAGAATAGCGGAAAACGGAGATCTACACAGAGGAAGAGACCCAGAGGGCTGCAGAAGAGGGCCCTCTAAGTCTCTGCTGATCTCATTAGTATACTTCTGAGAGGAGAAATTTTGATATGCAGAAGAGATACCAAGGGGCTTCGAGACAGCTTAGTAGAGAAAATGCTTGCTTCATAAGCAGGAGGACCTGAGTTAGCACCCACTTGAAAGCTGAGCCAAATGGCACATGCATTGGTACGCACTGGTGTGTCAAGGACAGAGATAGGCAAATCCTGGGGGCTTGCATGCCAGCCAGTCTTGCCAAAGCACTGAGTTCCAGGTTCAAAAAGAGATCCTGTCTCAAAAACTAATGAAGAAAAGACTGAAGAGACGGCATAGTGGTTAAGAGCATTCGCCACTTTTGCAGAAGACCTGAGTTTAGTTCCCAGCACCCACACTGGGCAGATTGAAACTACCCATAACTCCAATGCCAGAGAATCTGGTGCCCTGTGACCTCACACATGCACATGGTACACATAAATTCTCACAGTCACAAATATGTATGCATAAATTTAAATAAAGAAGTAAACCTTAGAAAAAACAGTAAGATGGAGATTGCCAGAGAAAGACACCCAACAACTGTCTACCTCCAAGTGCAAGCATGGGCACATTCACTTGTACACACACGAGCACACATGTATACAACAGATGTACACAGAAGAAATACAAGGAATCTAAATGCATGGAAGAAAGGCCATGTGAGTACACAAGGAGAAGCTGGGCATGTCTAACCTGAGAAAAGCCATCTCAGAAGAAACCAATCACATCAATACCTCCACTTGGGATTTCTACCCTCTAGAACTGTAAGAAAATAAATGTAACCTACCTGGTCTGTGGTATTTAAAGCAATATCAAAAGATACAGAAGATTAAATACTGATTACC